AAAATGCACAAATGTATTTTCTGCCTTTTTTTGTGGAAAAATCATCAGCACATTCAGAAAACCCAATACAAATGGGGCCCGAAACCGGTAAAAAAGACTCTTGCCTGTTAAATTTGTGAGAGCAAATGTTGGACACAGCATGGTTTTTAAATAGCTTTCAACATTTTTAAATATGTTTTGAGTTTGGAAAATGAAACAAAACTTTAGGTCTTTCCAAGAGATGAATTGCTATTTTTACCACAGGTGTATTTCGCTTCCCAGCTTTTTTAGAGCTTTCAATTAAGAAAAGTGTAACTAAAATAGAATTTTCTTCACAATGAATTTGCAGCAACTGCTTTTTTTAAAAGGGCCCCCTGCTGTTATTGTGGGTTTTTTCTCCCTACACAGTCATGCAGGTGGAACATCTGATTGAGCCAAGACCCTTTCTAAAGGCTGGGAGTTATGGTCTAAAATAAACTGAAGGGTTTAAAAATTTTCAGAACTTTTTGCAAACGTCCTTAAAGACTGTTTTTAACAAAAAAAAAATCTAACTCATTTTTAAGTTTCAGCACTTCTGTAATTTTTCGCTATAAATGCAATTAAAATTTAAAACTGTTTGATTTACATAATTTGTATGTACAGCCAAAAATTTTTTTTTAATTTAGTTTTAGATGGATTAAGAAAGGTTTAAAAACCTTCCCTTCAACACCTTTAAAAAATATATACATAACCCACTATACAGTGGGGGTCGAAAGTTTTTGGGGACCCCAGCTAAAAATTTTTTATTAAAAGTGTAAAAAAGCCAAGGAAAAATGGAAAAATCTCCAAAAGGCACAAAATTACGATTAACATTCTTATAATATGTCACAAAAGTTTTGATTTTTTTTCCTCTTTTACACTTTCAAAAAAACAAAAAAAACAAAAAAAAAATGGCTCTGCAAAAAATTTGGGCCCCTGCAAGTTAATATTTTTACGCCCCCTTTTGGCAAGTTCACAGCTTGTAAAAGCTTTTTGTGCCAGCCAAGATTTTTTCAATTCTTGTTTTTAGGTATCTTTGCCCATTTTCCTTACAAAAGTCTTCCCGTTCTTTGAGATTTCTGGGGGTGTCTTCAGCACTGTCTTTTTTATGATCACCTAGATTTTTAATTATGTTAGGCAGGAGATTGTGAAACCTGGGAAAACCCTTTATTTTCCCTCTTGATGTAATCCCTGTGGATTTTGAGGTGGGGTTTGGGGATCATTACCCCATTTGTGAACCATCCTCCCCTTTAACTTCGCTTTTTTCACAGGGGCCCTAAAAGTTACCACCCAAAATTTTGCTGAAATTTTATTTTTCCTTTTTCCGTGAAAAATTTCCCTGTGCCACGGCTGAAAAAACCCCCAAAAACCTGATTTTTCCAAACCCCCATGTTTAAAAACAGTTGGAAAAAGGGGTTCCCTTTTTCTTTAAAAATTCTGTGCCCCTTCTTCTCCAAATGTCCCTTTTGTCTTTCCGGCCAAAAAGTTAAATTTTTTAACCTCATGGCCCACAGAACTTTTTTCCAAAATGCAAAAGGCTTGTCTATATTTTCTTTTTGAAACGATGTTTTTTGTGGGTGGCCGTGAAGGGTTTTTTTTTGATGCTTTTCCCCATGAAGCCAATTTGTACAAGTATCTCTTTATAGGGAATGTGTACCACAACTCCGTGTCTGCCAGTCTTTCGGGAGGGATCGTGCAGTCAAACGTGGGTTTTTGAATTGTTTTTTCACAACCCTGCGATTTGTTCGTTGATTTTTTTTATTGGTTTTCCAGATCTTGCTTTAACTTCCATTTTCCCTGAGACTGCCATTCTTAATTACATTCTAAACAGAGGATATTGAATCTGAAAAACGCTTTGTTTTCTTTTATAGCCTTCTCCATTTGTGAGCATAAAACTTTTTCATTTTCAGTTTTAGACAACTGCTTAAAAGAACCCATGGGTATTGTTGGGGCGGGGTCAGATTAGTTGGGTTTTTAAAAACCTTTGAGATTGACATACCTGGTCTTCCCAGCGATGTTTGGAACAATCCATGACAATGGGGTCTAGCTTTGAAAGGGGGGGCCCAGTGCATGCTATAAATTTGCGGGGGCCCCCAAACTTTTGCAGACGCCATTTTTTTGTTTTTGTTTTTTTGAAAGTTAAATGGTGGAAATAAAATCAAACTTTTGTTGACATTTTTTAAAAAAATGTCAATCGTAATTGTCCCTTTTTTGGAGTTTTTTCCATCTTTCCTTGGCTTCTTTATGCCATTAATACAAATTTTTAGCTGGGGTGCCAAACTTTGACCCCCCACTGTACTGGAAAAGAGTTTAATATATATTATTTTAAAAAGTGTAGTGTTTGATTTTAGCACAGTCTGTATCCCATTCAAATATAAAACTGAACCAAATAACACATGGGTTGTGCAGCCTGAAAATAATTTTAAGGGAAAGTACAGGTTTTTTGATGCAAAAAAAACACTTTTTAAAAAAAGTTTCATGTTTTAAATTTTTTCCTTTTCTTTTTTCACAAGTTCATGGGCAATTTTTAAAAACCCCTGTGTTAAAAGCCAGGAAATAGTACAGCTGAAAGAGACATATACATTTGATAGTGGAACAAGTGAAACCCACTTTCCCAAATCATGAACGATTTTTAGTTCAAAAGGGGAAAAGCATCCAGTGAAAAAATAAAAAGTGTTTTCAATCGAGGTGGTGCGAGTGAGCGAATCCGTGGTCAAAAAATAGGGGGGCAGCCAGTTGGCACGGTTTCCCAGTGGTCTCTCAGATTGGGTTTAATATACTTGTCTTGGAGCATTTGGAGCCATTAGAGGTTATCTGTCATTTTTTTGGATACCCAAAAGGAGGATTTATTCGGCATTTCCCTTGATGTCCAATGATATACCTAAATTGAAACTGACCATCTTAGCAGGGGGGCACATCCTTTCTGATAAAATGGGTGCCCTTCCCTCTGAAAATAAAGTCAGTTAAAGAATTGAAAAAGATTATTTTACAGTTTCCCCAGGCCCCTTGAGGGATCACTATACACCTAGTGGCTGGCCTGCCTACCCCTTAAAAAGGAGTCCGTTAGCCTTCCATTAACACCAATGCTCCGGCCCCGGCCCCCACAGTGAGGGGTTAAATCTTTTCTGCCCAAAACCCTGGTGCCTTCGATGCATCAGGTATCCATTACAAATCGCATTTTATTATGCGCTCGGGGGTGGTCCATTCTTCTCTTTTTTATGCACAAGCACCAAGTTCCATTGAACACGGATTCTCGTTTACAGCACCATCATTTATGAAACTATTTTATACATTGTTTTTTTATTATATTTAAAGGCTTTGCATTTATTACTATTTGTCTGTTTGAGGTTTTATTGGTTACCTTAGTGGCAGCAGCTTACAGTGTGCCGAAATTTTTTATATTTTTATGAAATGTAATATGTCAGAAGATCACTTTTTTAATTCCACATGGACTTTTTTCCCCGAAAATCAGGAGCAGTCGTGAAGAACTGGTGAAGGGTGAAAGTCCCTCAATGGAAAACCAGTACCAGGCCAATGGAATCCATCATGTTTGTGACTATTGTTGGACACTAAAAGAGATGACACTGGTACAAAAAAAAAAAATCAGCAAAATATTTTTACCCTGTAGAATAGAACTCATCAAGTTGTCAGAAAAATTAGCAAATAAATACATTATAGCATTAAAATTAAATTTTTTATGTCTCTCAAGAATCTTATGTGGTAATTTTATTCTGTGTTCAGTTTGAAGAGAACTTTTTAAAATTTTCCAGACTTTTTTTTCGGGAAGAAAAACATTTAAAAAAAATTATTGTTCTGTCCTAGGTTATTACAAATGGGGGGAAGCTAGGGCAGTGATGGCGAACCTTTTTTGAGCCCGAGTCCCCAAACTGCAACCAAAACAAATTATTTCTTTCAAAGTGCCAACACTGCAATGAAACCCGAATATCGAGCTTTTTTTAGAAAAAAAAAAACTCGTACATGTGCAAAAATTAACAGACGGGATGACAGAGACTGCGGCAGTACAGGATGACCCGGACTGCGGGCCAGTAAGGGTGACCAGAGAGCAACCAGTACAGGGATAAACCGAGACGGGGTACACAGTACAAGACCAGGGGACTGCGGAACAGTACAGGGATGACCCGAGATGCGGACACATACAGGGATGACCAGGATGCGGACAAGTACAGGAATGACCAGAGACTGCGGACCGGTTTTTCAGGATGACCAGACTGCAGACACAGTACAGGGATACCAGAGACTGCGACATAGACAGGGGTGACCCGAGACTGCAGAACAGTACAGGGGGGACCCAAAACAGCAACACGTACAGGGGGTGACCGAGACTGCGGACACAGTACAGGGGATACCAGAGACTGCAAAACAGTACAGGGATGCCCGAACTGGGCACAGTACAGGGGTGACCAAGACTGCGGGACACAGTACAGGGGATGACCAAGGGTGCAAAAAACCTACAGGAGTGACCAGGTGGGACTACAGGGGATGACCAGAGATGCGGGCAGTACAGGGATGACCAGGATGCGGACAGTACAGGGATGACCAAGCTGCGGGCAGTACAGAGTGACCAAGACTGGGACACGTACAGGGTGACCGAGACTGCAGACACAGTAAGGGGGTGACCAGAGACTGCAGACACAGTACAGGGGATGACCAAAAACTCAGAATAGTACAGGGGGTGCCCAAACTGCAACCCAAAAACCCAAATTATTCTTTAAAGTGCCAACACTGCAATGAAACCTGAACGAGCTTTTGGGTTTTGAAAAAACAACTCGTCAGTATCAAACTAATTTAAAATACAGGGATGACCGAGACTGCGGACGTACGGGATGACAGAGACTGCGGACACGTACAGGAAGACCCGAGACTGCAGACACAGTACGGGATGACCAGAGACGCAGACACAAAGTACCAAAAGGGAAATGGGGACCAAGATGCGGCACAGTACAGGGACCCGAGACTGCGGACAAGTACAGGGGGTGACCAGAGACTGCGGACACAGTACAGGAGATGACCAGGACTGGGACAAGTACAGGAGATGACCAGAACTGCGGACACGGTACGGGGGTGACCCGAGACGCAGACACAGTACAGGGATGACCAAGACTGCAGACAAGTACGGGGATGACCAGAGACGCAGACACGTACGGGATGACCAAGACAGCAGACACAGTACAGGGATGACCCGAGATGGGAACATACAGGGTGACCAGAGACTGCAGAACAGTACAGGGATGACCGAGATGAGACACAGTACAGGGGGGCCAGAGACTGCGGGCACATACGGGAGACCAAAAAGACTGCGGACCATACAGGGGTGCAAAAACTGGACACAGTACAGGAGTGACCAGAGAGGGAACAGTCAGGAGTGACCCCGAACTGCAACACAGTAGGAGTGACAAGATGCGGACAGTACAGGGGTGACCAGAGCTGCGGGCGTACAGGGTTTTTTCAGAGACTGCGGACGTACGGGATGACCAAGACGCGGACAGTACAGGAATGCCAGAGATGCGGAAAGCACAGGGATGACAGAGACTGCGGGGCAGTACAGTGATGTGACCTTTGGGGGGGGAGGGGGAGGGGTACCCGAATTTGACAGGTACCCGCTTTACTTCCGCAAGTTTTTTTTTTTATCTTCCCGTTCCTTTATCCAGCCCCGGGGCTGTCTTCCGCTTCTGTGTGTGGGCGCTGTCGGACGCGGAATTTTTCCCAGTGGCATGGGCGGGAAGCGCTGCGCTTTTTTGATTGGTCGGCCTTCTGGGTCTGCAGGTCCGGTACCCCCTTACCCTTCACAAAGGCCGCTTTTTGCCAAGCGCATTGGGGCCCGGCTGTCAGACACTACAGAACCGGGGGGAAGGGGCAGCGCGCCGGGTGGAAGAGGGACAGGTAGGTCCCCCGCAGAGTGGCGGCCGGCCCCGGGATTCGACCGGCGGGGGGGTGGAAAAACCGGGCCGGCCGTCTATATTCGCTCCCTAAAACGCACTGACATTTTCCCCCCCTTTTTTTGGGGAAAAAAAGTGGGTCTTATGGAGCGAAAAAACGGTATCTCTGGCGGCCCAAGATAAGGCTCGGCGTGCCGGCTGTGGCCCGTTTGCCATGGGTTGATCACTGAGTAGGGCATTATAAAAAATGTATCCTGCTTTTTCACTTGCTAAAAAAGTGACAGTGGCCCCGAAGGCAGGTCCGAGCACCCTTTCCCCAACCCCAAAGCTGGTTTAAAGGGCCCCCAAAAGGTTTGCAAATTTGCATGTCAACTTCTATTAAAAATGTGGGGATTGAAGTGGTGGGGAAATTTTATTTTAATGGGAAACCATGTGCGGGAGATATAAGCGTTATTCTAAGTAAAATTTTAAAAGGTTCTTTTGTGACCCAAAATGTATTTTTTTAATACGTCGTCAGTATATAATTCTGAGGTTTTTTCCCCCCCCCCCCCCCCTGCAAATTTTTTTTTTTTTTTTTTTTTTTTTTTTGGGGAAAAGCCTTATGCTGTTTTATGTATGGAAAACAGAACAAATACACTGCCATTAGTAAACAGATCTGCTGTTATAAAGTAAACTATGTTGAAATTCTGGACTTTCTAGAAGTCATTTTAACATGAACCTGTAGGTGTACTTCCATTAAAGTAGCCCTATGGGTACTCAGAGCAGACATCTCCAGATGCCTGTAGGCATTTGTAGATTACATCCAGGGAACCCATGAGTTCTGAAATAAGGTGTGCTTTCTATGTTAAATGGTTGCACTCTGCTTTGCCGCCTTCAGCTTCTTGTTCCTCCCTATTAGTCATAAATGCAATGGGTGATCTCACTAGTCATATAGAAAGCAAAGGGAAGAGAAAAGAAAAAATCGTGACAATGCCAGGTATGATACCTATTTTGCATATTATATCCCCTAAGGTTTTAAAGATTCAGTGGTATTTAGGAAGTAATATGTAGATGCCCTGCAGACATCTTCAGGTGCCTACTATAAGATTGGGTTCATTATATCATGTAAAGTTAGCCTACGTGTAATTTTAGCACACTTTAGAACTGCAATTACTTAACACAAATGTGTTTTTGAAATATTTTTATACTTAATACCAAAGTGTATGTGCCAAAATACTAGTAGCCTTGGCCCAAGTGGAGCAGATTGATGGGTTTTTTTGTTGAATGAGAAGGACATGAGTCTAAATTTGCATGCAAAATTTGATTTTCTTCTATTAGGTATGTGACTCAACTTACACAGTGAAAACTATTTGTGTGAATGGGAAAATATCAGGTTTTATGTGTGTAGCTCTGCCCCCGAGAGGAGTCGCTGAATTGTTTTGTGATTTTTCTGTTACACCTGAAAAATGACACATCTCGCTCACCCCGCACTTACCGAGACACAGAGTTTATTAGGCCAACATAGCCTAAAAGAAGAGAGGAATAGCAAGTATAATTACACAAACAATCAATACGACCATAACTATGCTCTGAGAGATAGGGTTAAACACCTGCAGTATTCTGACTAACAGTAATTAACAGATCTGATTTGCATTTACCCAGAAACAGTATATAAAGACAGTCCTAATTTTTTGTACCAGTGTCAGTTTTATCCCACTGGCCAGTGTTTGATGGAAAAAACATTGGCTGGCAAATTTGAGGCCCATGAAGAAAACAGTTCAACAGACAACAGATGAACTTGTACAATGCAAATCTCTTACCAGAACCAGGGCAGCCTCTTCTTGATCTCCAAACACATGCTCTTGTTTAGTTCAAGTCCTCAGACAGGAAATGTGTTGCTGTGATTTTCCTCTTTTAATTGTGCTGAGACAGTTCCTCCTTTGTTTTCATACAAGCAATGTGAGTGGTCTCTCTAGTAAAGTGTGATCACACACCTCCCAGGAAGACGTTTTCAAGTCTCTGAGGCAAGGTCCTGCACAATGAGCAATCTCTTTGCTTCCCTCAGGGCTCATCG